TTTTTAAATTAACATTTATAACAAATTAAAGTTGAAATAAACTGAACATTTAAATTGTAAAATTTGGTTTTAATCAACTTTTGGATTTTTTCTGATTTTTGTCTGAAACTTTCCAGCAGCTGAAAGATTCTTCAGAACTCAGTTTTACTCTTAAATCTGTCTGATTTGGGTCCAGAACCCAACAGAACCCAACAGAACCCAACAGAACCTGCAGAACTCTGTCATTATAACAGGTTTAAGGATTTTAACGGGTCTTTTCTTACCTGCAGGACTGACGGAGACCCTGACGGGTTTAGCGAAGGTCAAAGCAGCACAGTGATCCGACCCGGTCCAAAAACCTCCCAGCTAACAAACGGCCTGAGAACAGCTAAAAGCAGGTAAAAGTCCTGGTCCATGGGGCTCACATGGACCTGCAGGACCTGCAGGAACCAACAGAGACGACATGTTGGGTTTTCATCAGCTGGAGGTCCAAATAAAGAGGCTTTCACCTGCAGCAGGAACCAGAACCTCGGACCAGAAAAACAAAGAAAATCCAAGTTTTTCTGCAGAAAAAGAAGCAGCTAAAGGTTCTTCTAAGACCCACATCTGGTCTCTGCAGGTCTCTGTGGTTCTGCTGGACCTGAGGAGTTTTTCAGCTGGTTCTGATGAAGCTGCAGGTTCTTGTTCTGGTCCGATTGGAGAACGAGTCACTGTGGCTCCCAGCCCAACACGGTGAGAAACCCTCGTACAAAAACCTGCAGCAGAACCAGGAACCTGAACCAGGAAGCAGAACCAGGAACCTGAACCAGGAACCTGAACCAGGAAGCAGAACCAGGAACCGGTCTGAGCTCAGAACCAACTCAGAGGAATTCTTTTAGTTTTTAATCTTTTTAGTTTTTTACACAAACTTTACAAAGTTTCACAAAGTTTAAAAACTGAGAAAAGTTTCAGTTTGAGAGAAGAAACAGGAAGAAACTGAAACTGAAACATTCAAACCTGAAACTTTATTTATCAAGTCTGAAATTTACAAAGTTTTAAATTTGATTCTAAACTTTATTCAAATTTAAACAGATTCAAAGTTCAGGTCAGAATAAACCCAGTTTAGGTTCTGTTAGGTTCTGTAGGGTCTGTAGGTTCTGTAGGTTCTGTCAGGNCCCGCCTCCTTCTCATGATGTGACAGGAAGTCCCGCCTCCTTCTCATGATCTCACAGTTACAATAATCAGCAAAGTGAGTTATTCAGAATTTTTTTATTTACAGCCCTAAAATGTTAAAAGTTCTGTTGTATTTATTTAAATTTTTGAGTTTTATTTGTAGAAAATGTACAACCTGGATGTTTTTCTTCAGACCTCCTCTCACTGAGATTTGTCTGATTAATGAATAAATAATAAATAAATAAATTCAGTGATCATGATAAAAGTACAGAGACATTTAGGACGCCGTGGTGGTCCATGACTGGGCCAGGTTCTAGACCACCTTGGACCAAGGGTTGATTTATTTTGTGGTCACATCATCAGATCTAAAGCTCCATGTTCTGGATTCTCAGTAGACCAGAGAGTCAGAACCATCAGGTGGACCAGTCCTGAAACCTGGGAACATCTGTCTGTCAGGTCTGGAACCCACACCTCATATGGGTTTTGTTCAAGGTCTAGAGACCAGAAGGCCAGTGGTGCCTAATGTGGACATACTGAAGATGGACTAATTAAAAATGGATCCATTGAAGGTGGACCCATTGTAGGTGGACCCATTGTAGGTGGAGCCATTGTAGGTGGAGCCATTGTAGGTGGAGCCATTGTAGGTGGAGCCATTGAGGGTGGACATATTGAATGTGGAACCTAGCCTGGTAAAAACCAGACCCTTGTCGTTCACTTTGCTTCGTACGAGGGTCTGGACTCTCGGCTATAGAGAAGTGATTCTTGCTGGGGGCATGGCCTCTGCTGAAGTTGAAAATGATTGGCTCGGTTGGCTGCGATGTATGTGTACGTTAGCTCCACTGTGACGGAGGCTAAGCTAAGAAGCTAACCGGAAATTGCGTGCGCTGTAAACAACCCTACTGAGAGGAGAAATATACCGAGCAGAACGAGACGACTGTAAATGAGAGCTGCTGCTTTGTCAGACTAATTGACTGGTTTCATTCACTTCCTCCACTGCCATATGCTATGCTAAACTAACTAGCAGACACTGCACAGACAATCAGCATTGTTCAAAACTCCACCTTCTGTTTGCTGATTGGCCCAGGTAAAATAAACTACAAGCAGACACTGTGCAGAAAATCAACACTCTGTTCTCTGATTGGCCGAATGAAATGCTCCAGAAGAAATCCTTGTCTATGGGAGAAATCCCAGACGGAGCAGAGAAGGAAACTAGAACTGAGCGGAGCTGCGTAGGAAGACAAGGACCAGGCTATGTGGAACCTGGTTCAGCCTGTATTTGGTTCAGGAACTGATCAGCTGACCAGGACTGGGGACGTCTCTTCTATAGTCCCTTGTCTATCGTCATGTCTGTCTCTAATCCGTTCATGTGTGTTGTCTCCAGTGTAAATGTGTCTCCATGGCAGTGTGTCCCTCACTCTCTGAGTGGGTCTTCAGCAAGCAGTTTATGCAGTAGTCAGACATGTTTGGTGAGGTTTTCATGGCTCTGTTTAAAAGTGAACTAGTAGGGGGGCAGTTTGTCCAAAACCCAACCCTCCTGGTGCACCTGCTCATTCAGACTGATCCATCAGCTCCACCCGTGCTCTCATCTCCTGAATCTCTCAAGGACGAGTTTGCAAGTTGCGCCTTGACTCAGTCAATCCACGTCAAAATCACCTGCCTGGAACCATCTGAGGTGGATCCAAAAGACCAGATGGAATGGAATGTTAATGGAAGTTAATGGAAGCCAGTGGTAGTCAATGGTAGTCAGTGGTAGTCTGTGGCGGCCAATGGTAGTCAATGATAGTTAATGGAAGTTAATGGTAGCTAACGGTAGCCAGTGGTAGTCTATGGCAGTCAATAACAGCCAATGATAGTTAATGGTATTCAGTGGTAGTCAATGATAATTAATGGTAGTCAATGGTAATTAATGGTATTCAGTGGTAGTCAATGATAATTAATGGTAGTCAATGGTAATTAATGGTATTCAGTGGTAGTCAATGATAATTAATGGTAGGCAATGGTAATTAATGGTAGCCAGTGGTAGTCTATGGCAGTCAATAGTAGCCAATGATAGTTAATGGTATTCAGTGGTAGTCAATGGTAATTAATGGTAGCCAATGGTAATTAATGGTAGTTAATGGTAGCCAGTGGTAGTCTATGGCAGTCAATGGTAGTCAATGTTAATTAATGATATTCAGTGGTAGTCAATGATAATTAATGGTAGTCAATGGTAATTAATGGTAGTCAGCAGTGGTGGAGAAAGTACTCAAACACTGTACTTAAGTAAAAGTACAGATAAACAGACAAGAATGTACTCTAGTAAAAGTACCACATGAACATTTTACTTGAGTAAAAGTAAGTACTTGCTTTTAAAATACTTAAAGTATTAAAAGTAAAAGTACTTGCTTAATGTATTCCCTAATGGTCTACAATATCATGAAGTGTGCCTGCTGTGTATATTTTAATACATCAATGGTGCCATTTTAGTGAACAATGCTGCAGATGATGCATAGTTTTGTGTTTACACTCTGTGACACTGTTCACACTCTGTGACACTGTTCACACTCTGTGACACTGTTCACACTTGGACTTGTGAGTCTGTGCATCATCACATATTGTGACAACAGCTGCAGCAGATGTGAACTCACCACCAACCTCCTCTATCAAATCTCAACAAGTCATTTGTTTTGAACCAGTTAAATAAGACCATGAATGGCACATTTCCTATGGTGGAAACCATTGTGGGCATGATGCTGCTGCTGCTGCTGCTGCTGCTGCTGCTGCTGCTGCTGCTGCTGCTGCTGCTGACCCTGCTGCTGCTGCTGCTCTGCTTTTTATGAAGGAGGGTGTGATGGTACTTTCCTGCTTTGTTCAATGGACCAATTACAGTAATTCCCCCTCTCACCACTGATTATTTTCTTACAAAAAAATCAAATAAACCACAAATAAAATAAAATAAAAAATAAATCGACATGACATGAATGTACTTTGTAATTCAACACATTACAGAAATGTAGTGGAGTACAAAGTACAGATACTTAGTGTAAAATGTAGTGGAGTAAAAGTCAAAAGTACCCATGATGAAATCTATTTAAATAAAGTACAGATACATGAAAGTATACTTAAGTACAGCAAGAAAGTATTTGTACTTAGTTGCATCCCACCACTGGTAATAATTGGTAATAAATGGTAGTCAATGTTAGTTATTGGTAATTAATGGTAGTAGTAGGAAACTTGTTAGTTTTCATGTGAACCCCACTCAGTGGATCTTTGCCAGCTGAAACCACAGACTTTAAACAAGATGAGTCATCTGATAAGTTGCTGTGGTTTAAACCCACTTCCCTCCTCTTTGAAGACTCATCAGATATGTGTGTTCAGGTTTTTGTACAGCCTCTTCTACACTTTGGATCACTGTGTATCCAGAGCACAGTAGTAGAGACCTGAGTCTGTCAGGGTTAGCTTTTGTATCGTCAGGTTAGTTGAGGTATCTGCTGTGGTGGAGTTGTAACGATCATCGGGAATATATTGACTTTTTCTTTCTTTGGCTCCTTTCCAAAGAAGAAACTGAGGAGCCTGAAGGTCAGAATGATGTCTGAACCAGTGGAGATCAGGATGATTTGCTGTTGTCTTAAACTGACATGTGAGTGTGAGACTTTGTCCTTCTGTTCCTCTGACTTCATCCTGAACAGGAGAGATTGAGTCTCCAGCTGTCAGTCCTGGAAAAAGAAGACAAAATGAATCTGAACGAAGAAGAAAAGCAGTGAAATGCAGTCTGTAGATGTGCTTCATGCAGCAGCTGGAACCAAACTTCAGTCCCTGTTCTCCAACTCACCTAGAATCAGAGACAGAAGCAACAAGAGGGACAGCAACATGTCTTTGTCCTCAAAGACAGACACACAGCAGATGGACAAAGTTGTTCCACTGCAGCAAAGTCAGGATGAAATGATGTCATTGGATGGGCTGAACTTCAGTGGGCGGGGCTTAGACTCCACCAATCAGATGGATTTGTGCTTCTACAGAAGCTGTGTCTCTGATGTTTACTGCTTCATGTCTCTGTTGTCTTTGTCTTCAGTCCAACAAGTCAACAATCAGAGCTTTAACAGCCTGTGAGTCCCTCTAGTGGATGTTGTGCAGTATTGTGTTGTCTTTGCTCTGCAGGTTTTTGGACAGAGTTTAGCTGTTTCCTGTCACTGTGGGCCTCACAGCACAGTAGTACACAGCAGAGTCTGTCTCTGCAGCAGAGGAGATCTG